ACAATGCAGTGAGTGCAGTGTGAGTGAGGTGTGTTTAAATAATCCCCTCCCCCCCACCTTTTCTCTTTACAAGGAGAGAAAAATGCCTTTATGTTACCCTTCTCCATTATGGCACAGAGGCGGAACTGGAGCTCCGGAGGGCAGTGGATTCAGGACCAGCTCTGGCTGTCCGACCTTGCCCAAGTCCCACAGAGCCCGGTGTGTAGAAGGGATGTTTTTAACACCTGCCTTACCTTTGAATTGTATGATTTTTCTGAGAAATAAAAACAATAATAGCAATAAAAGTCCTATGTCTTGTACAAGCCTGGCAGAAAATGGGTAGTAGTATTATGAAGCCTGTTTTCTAAAGACTGAAAACACCCTGTAATAAGACTCTCTCATGGTGTCTCTGAGGCAGCCAAGCTCTCTTTCTATTTCACTTGAGGCCACGAGTGAAAAGGAGGTTTGTACGCACATTGTCCTTCTGGGAAGTCCAGGAAACTTGTCAGACATCCAGCCTCTCCTATCTCCTGATTTTTTTTTTTTAAATATACCCTTATTGATTTCAGAGAGGAAGGGAGAGGAAAAGAGAGAAACATCAATGATGAGAGAGAATCATTGATTGGCTGCCTCCTGCACATCCCCCACTGGGGATCAAGCCTGCAACACAGGTGTGTGCCCTTGACCAAATCAAACCTGGGACCCTTCAGTCCGCCAGCTGACACTCTATCCACTGAGCCAAACCAGTTAGGGCTCTCCTGATGTGTTTGCTGAGGATGAGAATTGAAGGTGAAGGTCACGGTGCTTGAGGTACTGCTGGAGACCAAAACCTAAAGTCTTCAAGCCATCATAGTGTCCACTGGCACTATGTCCTGACTCTGTGTTTTCTAAACCTTTCCCACAGCAGTTCCCAAATCCAGCTGTGCATCGGAATCACCTGGGGGCTTTTCAAAATACGGATGCCTGGGCCCCACCTCCAACCTACTTTGAGTTCCCAGATCAGATTCACCTGGAAAAGTGTCTAAAAGTTGTTTAAAAGACTTCTGAAGCTGCTAGGCTGAGGATCATGTCCGGAATCACTGATTTTGATATTTCATGCAGGCAAAGCACATGGTCAGTTGCTCTCCCTCTGGGCATTCTAGGAAGAAGTCTTCTTGAGATGACCAAGAGGTATCCCTTGCCACCTGGACAGTCTCTTCCTCCGAGACCATGGTCTGCTTTATGTAGCAAGTTGGCCTGGGGGAGCCTGCTCAGCTTGCCTCCACTTTCTTTGCTACATGTCATCTACCATCCTGAAATGAATGCAGCCTCTCAGATGCCTCTTCTTAATCTCCTTCATGCCACTCCCACTGCTCTGGCTTTCGTTCAGATCCCCATTACCTTCAGCAGGTCTTGCTTTATCCTTGCCCTCTATTGCCTATTCTTCTCAGTGCCACCAGGATTCTGTGTTATAAAAACAGATCTGCTTTGGGTATCTCTATACTCAGAGACCTCAATTCTTCCCCACTGCATGGAGAGGAAAGCAAAGCTCCCAACTTGGCCTTTGGTTTCTTTCCTACAACATGCTTCCATCTTATCTTTGTAGCCTCAAGTTCTAAACCTTCACCCCAAACCCATACTATGGTCACACTGGCTAAATCACAATATAAATTTAGACCAAGCTTTTTTCTAATTCCATGCTTTTCTTCAGACTGTCTCCCTAAACTAGAATATGATGTCTTCATCATATTCACCTACAGCAGGGTCCAACTTAAACCTCACATTGCTCAGGAGGCTTTTATGGATCCCTGTCAAAATTGATTTCTCCTGAAACACGGTGTGAATAATCATTGTCCTTGCGATGGTTCAACTTGTGTTTGGTTTATTTTTGCTGTGCCTATCTTCCCTATTGGACTGTGAGTCGGCACAGCATAGGAGCATGTGTGTTATTCCTCTTTGTATCATCTCTTGCACAGTGTATACAGTAGGAGCTAAATAAATGTCTGCTGATTAGTCTATCACCATACTTATTTATTTTTACAGAAACAATGAGAATTAAGCTTTAATTTTTAATCACTATTTCTCAAGACTCATTGTTTTTTAGTCTGGAAATGAACCTCTATTAGAAGTTTACATTTCTGTCTTTCTGTCCAGAGGCATTAATATGGGGACATGAGAAAACACTGGGCAAAGTGGAATATTTGAGGATAAATGAATTACCGAGAGTCTCAGGTCACAGAGCCAGGCCTGGGGTTTACTAGACGCCATTGCTCAGTGACTCACAGAAGGAACCATAATATGGCAGACTGACCAGAGTTTAGCAAAAGAATGCAATGGGCACAGAGTAGATCTTGTAATATTACTCTTTGGGCTATTCTTTCTTACATTTCCTGCTTTTCCCCCTAGTAGCAAGAAGCACCCTTTTGCCTCAGGAATGAGGATTGTTGTAGCAGGACTACAAAGAGAGAGAAAAAGGTAACATTCAGTGGTTTTGGTTTTCAAATTAGGCTCTTCCATGTATTAATCAGTTAATTTTCATAAT